GTGGGCGTCGTAGTTCGGCGGCGGGGGCGGCCATTTGGGCAGGGGGGCGCCCCGGGTCGGCGGGCAGCTCGCCCTGGGAGCCCTGGGCCACGGGGACACATTTCCCGGCTTGGCTCTACCCCCCTCGTGCACCTGCTTGTGTTTTTGATATTGTTCCTAAGCCCCTCACCACGGCGGAGGCGGGTAGGGGTAATGGCAGCCGGTGGCTGTGGCCGTTAGCGCCGTGCCGTCCTGGCACCTCTCTGTACCTGCTCCTTTGCCAACCCACAAGCCGAAAACGGCAAATCAAAACCGAACTGCGTGGCTCCTTGTTTTGGCGTAACCAGATTTTCAGGCATCATCCCAAGGGCAGCGCAACGCAGGGAGAGCTGAGGCTAAAAGCGAGAGACCTGCCACAAGGGTTAAATTTCTGTGGGGCTGGCCCAGTTCATCGCTCGTTTTTCTTGCTTATGTAATGGGAATAAATCAGACATACTCACCGTGGCGATGTGTTTATGGATGCAGATAACCGCTTTGCATAAAGTCTCTGAGCAATTTTTTATTGTGGATCAGCAGTAAAGTAACAGCCAAAGCCCTTACTTTGCAGCTGGCTACAAACAGCTTTTTAAAATTTTTTTTCTGTACACAACATAGGCTTTTCAAAATATTTAGACACAGTGTCATTGTTTCAAAATATTTAGAGAGAGGGGAGCTGTATTGTCATTGGTGCTGAGTAGTCCATAAAAGAAAAACAATAACCAGGGAAAGAAAACAAAATGCAAGTTCTCTTAAAGAAAAAACAAACATGGGACATGAAACATTTGAGAGAATGAATTTCAGTATCACTTGACCTCAGTTTACTTCACCCTTCAATGCAGAGGTGGAAACCACTGGTGCTGTTCTTTTGAGCTGAAAGACCCACAATATTATTTTACTGCTTTCATTTTATTTTTATTGTATGCCGTTCTGCGCAATGTTTATCCTGGTAGAGGTAGATGACATAGTGTGTATAGCTTCAGGAGCTTCGTGACAATATGAAAATCAAGAAAGCAAGAGAGTTCAAGCATTGCACATAAACAAAAATGAAATTAAATTGGAAAGCAATTATTTTAAAATGTTTATAATCTCTCATTTGGACTCTCATGCTGCCAATAAATGAGGCTGTATTTTTTTCAGGAGGGACAAATATAATGAAAAATACATTTTCCCATGTCACAGAGCTTTTCTTACAGAGTGAGGCACATCTCTCAACATGAGAACAAAGCATTAAAATTCTAATTAACGCGTTGATTACACCAGCCTGAGCAGACAAGCAGCATTGTCTACATGCAGCTACTTCTTAAGTCAGCCCCAAGACTGAAGTTAGAATAGGAGATAGTGGCTTGCTTAGTAACTGGTTTTTATTACTGACGTTTGACATATTGATAATCGGGTGATAGCGTGCCAGGCACAGCTCTATAGTATAGTTTTCCTTGACTTCGTAAAAACCCACAAACAAGAGTGAAAAAAAATTCCATGGCTTCCCTGATTAAAAAAAAAAAAAAAAGTATTTGACGCAGTTGCTCAGTTCTCAAAATAAAAATCTATAAATTATCATTGGGTAGAACCGTAGTTCTATCATGAGGGAACCATACATTCCAATTTAGATTTTCAGTAAATCTATTTTTTTCTGTATAGAACACATATCTAACTGCTTACCCTGACAAACATCTGATATCCTTAGACTTTTCATGTTTAAGCCTAGAAATTTTTATGTTTAAGCCTAGAATTAAAAGCTCTTTTTCCTAACAATCACAGGTTGATGAAAGAAAAGAGAGGGGCATGATATTTTGTGGTTCTTAGCGGTAGAAAGACGCATGCCAGCATCTGACAAAGCTGCTTTCCTGTCTCTTGTCAAGAAGCCAAGAGCAGGCACAAGGCAACCCAGCCAACTCTTCCACGATATCCCTTAGAAAATGTTTGTCTTGTAGAGACAGATGTTTCACATCTTCCCAAATCTTGCCAGTCTGGGTTTATACCTAACTATATGCAAGCAGTATGTGATTCCTATAGCAGATGATCCAGATAATGAAAATTGAGAAGGTGCTTAGGCTACTGCATTTGGATCTCTTGGCTACCTGTTTTTGTTTTCATGGTTGTTGATGCACTTGCAAACTCTGTGGCTGACTTTCGGTGGCTCCATTTTTCTCTCTCGGAGAGACCCCAGGGGATGTTTTTTACTAGCATTTGCTCTTCTGCTTGAGTGTGTCCCTGTGGATTTCCTGCAACCTTTTGCTTCTCTTCATCTTCAGTGTGTAGGTGAGGCTGTTAGAAGAGATAACAAAGAGGAAGGATTTTCAGTATGGCCATTATAGCCAGCTTTAAACCTGGTTTATATCACAGTCAGTGCTTTGAAATTTCCTATCCAATGCTCGAAAACCTTAAGCCTCTGCCAGAATTCCGAATCAGATGTCATAAACTACAGGAGGCAACCAGAAGACTGCACTTGGATCAGATTTGCCTACTAATTGAGTGAGGTGCCTTTCTACTTTCTCTCGCTCAAATTCTTCATACAGGGTTTTGCTGTTTTAAAGGATCATGTAGCAGTAGTTCTCAGATGACTTTCCTCCTGTCCATATGATTATATTAATTTCCCCTCAGAATGGAGAGCTTTATATGATGAATACTTTTTTTTTTTTTCTTTTTAAGATTACTATTAGAAACTGCAGTGCATTCCACATGCAACTTCTGTTTGCATCCGCTTGGAGACCAGAGCTACTGTAGAAGGAGATGGTTCGTTTGGTCAAGGGAATTTGTCCTAGATATGGACATAAGTCCTGCGACGTGCATTGGCAAGCTGCGGCATCCTGGGTTTGGTCTTGGGAATAGCTGCTCTGCTCTTAGGCTGATCCTCTTTGCACCTCACACAGTCCAGCTCATACAACCGCTCTAAATCTAATGCCACTGTTATGAGGTTTGTATGGTTTTGTGGCTCGCTTTCCTCAGAGGTGCAAACATCCACATCTTCACTGCTCTCTTGGCAGTACTCCGTGATGCACAAATGAAAACCAGAAGATCCCAGGCTATATTTGTAAATGAAAAACTCACTCCCGGTAGATGTAACCTAATAAATACAGTTTGAATTACCTGACTGTAAACACTGGGAGGAGTGGATTGTTCCTTTTCAAAAAACCTAACTGGATTTGCTGCTATTCAAAGCTTAATAGGCCAAGAAATGATCTTCTCAAATACGGGAGTAAATTCAAGTCTTGAGCCCTGTGGGTTCCTGCTTGCTGGGAGGACAGCAGCGGACTTTGGCTGAAGGACCTTGTTGCCCTTCTGCAACACCTCCAAGCAGTTTTTAGAGCAGGAGTGAAAGATCCCATCAGGAGTTACACCAGCTCCTTCTCCTTTGAAGAGGCATATAATAATCCAACGTGTAATACCTTAAGGGGCTGTTAACTGGAAGACTTGCCTCCTTGTGCCTGCTGTGCTAGGAATTGTGTATTTCTCTCTCTTGTGCCAACCCCACAACCACTTTTCATGGTCTTTTTGTAATGACTAGTCTTCAACCTTGCTTTGTTGCTTTTCTTAACTTTGTAAAATATTATTTAACAGTGAGAATTCTGTTGTTTCAAAATCAACATATAAAATCTGCTGTTCTGTTTTGTGGTTCCCCCAATTCTGCAACAGTCTGTTTCTTTTTAATTTAAATTTGTTCATTCAAGTGAAACTACTGCTAAATTATACGATCTAGATTCTACAATTCACATAGAAGGAGTGGGTGAAAGGGAGAAGAAAGAGATGTTTATTGTCAATGTTAAGCAACAAGTCTAAATACTGTCCTGCTGAAGGATGACACAAGTAGGTACAAAAAGGTACCCTAATTTAGTGTGACGGGAGAGGTTTTTAAAACTAGTGAGCACCAAATGCCAAGCAACATGCGCAAGATTCACAGCTCCAGAACTGTACTTATTAAACTAAAGCAATGGTTAGTGAATAGGTAAGGTTGTAGCAGGATACATTCCCATGGTCCTAGCCCTGAAAAGTAAGGAGAGAAAAAGTTAAGGGCAAAGGATGGCCTTTACACTTTATGTATGTATGTATGTACGTACGTATGTATGTATGTATGTATCTATTGTTATTTATGGTATTATTAATAAAACAGCTAATTATCCATTAAGCTTTTGAGCTCCGTTATTAGATTTGTGCTCTAACACAGAGCCATAACCAGGAATGACTTCACGCTATCGGGTAACATCCGTGGATGCGTCTGGACTGTCAGTGTCTCGTGCACGCGGGAAGCGCCGGGGCCGTGACTAGAGGGCACACAGGTTCAGCCTGAGCAAATACGGGAGCAGGGGGAAAAACAGGACCCTCTGCAGGGAGTTGGGAGGCACAGAAAGGCTGCATGGGCTTCAGCAGGATGCGCTCCTCGTCGTACGCTTGTTTAAATATATTTGCATTTAGCAAAATATTGTTCTCTCATAGGTAGCTGCAGTGTTTCTTCTCACTGTTTTGATAAAGGACTCTGTTGAGTTTGTGCTCTTAGTTTGTAGTTTGGGTATATTGAGCAAAACTGAAAGTTTAACTTTCTGGAGGTAAGCTTTAGCGTTTATTGGTATTATGACATTTAAGAAAAGGACACTAACTATATTATATTACTTTAGAGAAAATATTAAAACAGCTCTTAGCTCTGATCATGCATATAGTTATATATTTACTTATTTATTTATCCTTCAATGATGAATACTTATTCCCTCATTAGGTCTTGTAAGTGCTCAGTAGTTACCTGGCATTGTTTCTTGTCCCAGATAAACCTGCTGAGGATTCCTGTGTTGAGGAATCCATGAGGAACACGGATTAATAGAGGACTTCTCTGGCAGTCTGTTTTGCAAAGAATATTTAAGAGGTTACATTTTCACAGAAGCTCTGGTGATAAATCAATTCACACACATCACTTAGGTACTTAACAGATGTTCCTATTAAGTTGCTGTAGCGTAAGCACACATGGAATCACAGAATCACAGCATAGACAATTCAGAGAAAAATAAAACTATTCTGAATAGCTTTTTAAGCAGCTAACAGTAATAGCACAATAGCTGGGCTGGGCAGATATAGAAACAGTGCACAATGGATAATTTGAGGACCCTCCAGAAACACTGTCTGAGAGACAAAGAACACAAAGAATTTCAGAATATTCTGTTCCTCAAAGACTGGACCAGAAAAAGGTTTTAAATCCTAAATGGGTGGGAAATGTGCTAACATTTCTTTTTGTAAAAATGGAAAATCATACAGAACTCCAATAATTAAACACTAGAAAATTTACAAAGAGAAAAGATAACTCATATGAGTCATTGCTGGCAAGGGAAAAGCTTTA